ATCCCCCCGGCGTTTCCTTCCCTTGAAATTCACAAGATCAAGCAAAGCACGGCCAGGAATCACACTGACTGTCTGCTATAGGCATCTGATCATTTGATGTTGCCTCAGCCTACACTAGTTTTAGTTTAATTGTGTAAGCTACTGTAGCTGCTTTTCAGTCTTTGAAATGTTGATCTGGCTATATTATTTAGAATACAGATACTGTTATGGTTGTGAATAAAATTCCAGGTATATTGAGATTAAGATTGAGAGATCCTTTATTCGTCCCACAATGGAGAAATTTCAGTTTTGCATCACAAGTTATAGAACAGTAGGAAAGAGGAGCACAAGGCACAAATTAAGTGAACAATAGCTATACTAATAAAAATAAAACAAAATCTCTAACTCTAGAATCAATAAAAGTATAAAATCTCCATCTTGAAAATAATGATAAAAGAAGTGTTAAAAAAATGCATGCTATAATCTGGCAGACAATTGAGGTCGGGCCCAGTCTTCTTCTTATCGTGGTTTTACGGCGGTTGGCAACCAGAACTATAGAAGACAGTAATGCACCTTTTAAACTGGAGTATGGGCTCACTATCTGCAATTGTCTTTGAAAGACATCAGTATTGTCTAACTATAACTATATATCTAATATCTATTCTCTATCATCAACTCTTGTGCCTTTCAGAAACCCCACCAGTTCCCCAACTTGTGCTGTACTGTGACCTTCCAGCACACTCTTTAAAGTGATGTACCTAACACCCAGCTCCTTCATCTTATTCTTTATAATTCAACCAGAGTCTTAAGGCTGAGGTGTCAAGTGAATATGGAACAGGTGTGAGCCTCACAGATGCAACAGAGCCAGCCACAACAATACAGTGGTTTGCAAAGGTTTTAGCACCCTTTGACATCTTTATGATTTTCCTTTTTTAAATCATTGGTTGTGATAAGAAATTTCAGTTAAATACACTACCGTTCAAAAGTTTGGGGTCACCCAAGTGTTTTCCATGAAAAGTCACACTTATTCACCACCATACGTTGTGAAATGAATAGAAAATAGAGTCAAGACATTGACAAGGTTAGAAATAATGATTTGTATTTGAAATAAGATTTATTTTACATCCAACTTTGCTTTCGTCAAAGAATCCTCCATTTGCAGCAATTGCAACATTGCACCAAAACCAGACATTTGCAGCTAGAATAGTCATTTACCACATAAGCAATGTATAGAGTGTATTTCTTTACAGTTAAGACTAGTTTAAAGTTATCTTCAGTGCTTTTCCTTAAAAAATAAGGACATTTCAATGTGACCCCAAACTTTTGAACGGTAGTGTATATCATTTCAAACACTGATATTTGAGAAGTGAAATAATGTTTATCATTTACAGAAAAGAATATTTAAACCAAATTTGGTATGTGCATAAATTTAGGCACTCGTTCAAATGTTGTTGATTTCAATACCTGTATTTCAACTGTGAAGAATTGGAAGACCACAGGAACAGTTCTAATTAAGGCCAAGTGGCAGACTAGGAAAATTCTCAGATAAGCAGAGGTACATGATGGTGAGAAGACCAGTCAAAGTCAAGCCACAGACCAGCTCCAAGGACCTACAACTTCAGCTGCAAATGATGTCACTGTGCATTGTTCGACTATTCAGCGCACTTTATAAAAGGAGATGCTGTAGGGATGGAGAAGCCTTTTCTCTGCACACACCACACACAGTGTGCTTGAGGTATGCCAAAGCACATTTGGATAAACCAACTTAATTTTTGAACTAAAAATGAGATATTTGGGCAAAAAAGGGGCGTTATGCATGGAAGAAAAGAGAACAGCATTCCTAGAAAAACACTTGCTACCAACAGTAAGATGTGGTGATTCCATCATGCTCTGGGGCTTTGTCTAGTGCACTGGGAATCTTGTGAAAGTTGAAAGGTGGATGGATTTTACTCTATATCAGTAGATTCTGCAGAACAAAGTCCAGGAATCAGTTACAAAGTAGAAGTTGTGCTGGATCTTTCAACAAGACATTGACCCTAAACATTACTCAAAATCAAGAATCCATGCAAAGGAACAAGTACAACGTTGATCTGATTGTTATTGGACATTTGTGGTGTGATTTAAAACAGGCCATCCAACAAACCTTACTGAACTAGAGATGATTTGCAAAGAATGGTCCAAAAAACTTTCCACCAGAATCCAGACTCTCATTAGAAGTTATAGGAAGAATTTAAAACCCGTTGTTTCTGCAAAAGGAGAATGTACATACAGAAAATGCCTACATTTATATGCATGCCTAAGTTGGTTTAAATATTTCTTTCGTACTTTTTTGTAAATTATACAAACTTTATTGCACTTCTAAAATATCACTGTGTCTGTCTCCTATATCATATATTTAACTGGAACTTCTTATCCAAACAACCAATGATATATAAAGAAAAATCCTTTAAAGAAAATGGAAACCAATAATGTCCTAGAGTCTAGTACTCTAGACCTTTTTTAGGATCCACAACAAGATTTTGTGTGCGGACTGGGTTGTCGAGGTCTCCGCCTTCGACCGCTGCCCAGTCCTCTCAGCACCCGACCACCACGGACCCCTCTGCGGGTGGTGGGCCCACAGGAGGGACTGCCCACGTCATCCCTTCGGGCTGAGCCCGGCCGAGCCCCGTGGGCTAAGGCCCGGCCACCAGACGCTCGCATTCGGGCCCCCACCCCAGGCCTGGCTCCAGGATGGGGCCCCGGCTGCGCCATGCCGGGCAACGTCTCTGTTATTGTATTTGTGCGATCCATGGTGGTTTTTGGACCGCTCTTTGTCTGACTCGTCACCTGAGACCTGTCTGCCATGGGAGACCCTACCAGCATAGCTCCCAGGATCATCCGAGTACTCGAACTCCCCCACCACGTCCCACCGGGAGGAGGCCCCGGGGAAGATCTAGGACACGCTGGAGGGACTGTGTCTCTCAGCTGGCCTGGGAACGCCTTGGGGTCCCCCCAGACGAGCTGGAGGAAGTGTGTGTGGATAGGGCATTAGGTTGCAGAGCTATAGGTCTTATAGCACTAGGATGGGAGCTGAACCTATAACTCCAGGTGGGTTGAATATTGACACATGATTATTTATAACCAGCAGATTCAAATTGTGTTTTTAAAACAGATTAGAGGTCCCATATCATGCTTTTCAACTTGCTTTAAACATCATGAAAGTGCTATTTGGCCTTCATCCACATGCTCAAAGTAGTTTTTTCATTGATTCCCTCAAGCTTTAGTTAGCAAGTAATCTTTCTCATTCATTCTCAAGAAAATTGCCTCGGTTCAATTCCTCACGTGTCACCAATTTGTGACATGGCATCAAGCTGGAGGAGCCCGCCTAAAGGAGGTGATTGACAGGGGGAGAAATCAAAACAGCGATTAGGTGCATGCAGCCTCTCTCTCTCAGCCCGAATTAAAGGTATCCCCCCACGTCTACCACCTCGGGTTCTGCTGTTTTTCTATTACTGTCTCCCACTAAAGGTGTTAGCAGCATGTGACTTGGAGAAAATTTATTTTTGGGTGTAGATATGTGACGACCCTATTTGGCCCGAAGACGAATAATAAGGCAAATGTGGATGCACTTACTATTCTGCCAGCAACACTTCAAAGACTGTTCCAAAACTAAGCTTACCATGAAACTGGACCTACTTAAAAGCTGATCTTGAAACCTGGTGTTAATCAATATAAGCTACTAATGAGGAGCCAAGATCTGAAAGTAGGGTACTTGTAACTCGCCCTATACTACTATTAATAAAATAGTAGTGATTCTGGATCAAGGACAAAGGGCTTGATGTGACTGATCGGCATTCTTGGAAAAACTGGGGGTGGGGGTAGGCAGGCTCACATGTTGAGCAGCAGAAATCAACTAGTTTCAATTGCACTGACATCCCCCCTATACAAGATATAACTATGTTTAATATTAATATAACATAGTTTTGTTCCTCCTTTATACCTATAAGGAAGTAAGTCATCTTTATATATATTGCGCATTTCCGGTATCAAGGTCACCCAAATCGCTTTACAATGTTCAGAGTTCAGATATTTTTCCATTCTCTCCCCACACGGTGATGACGGCAAACACACCGGTGCATCAAAAGCCCCCAACCAACACCATTCCTTCACTCGTTACAGTCATACTTATTTTGTATGTATTGTATTTAGCAGTAAGGGAAACAGTAGAACCCAAAGAAAACCTACGCAGACACAGGGAGAACATGCAAACTTTATTCAGAAAGGCCCTGTTCGACCAGGATTTGAACCCAGGATCTTCTTGCTGAGAAGCGAGAATGCTATCCACTCAGCCACCGAGTCGCTAAAAAGAAGAGTTCACTAAAACAATAACCAATCATTGGTTTTATAAATGTTGTTGGACACTCAAAAGACTTTTCACATTTAGTATTCATTCACTCTTTATGCTATGGTGAAACTACTTTAGAAGCCACATCTTCCCTGATGCAGACTGACGGTGATGAACCAGTCTGTGTCGTCGGCCTGTGCGATCACAATCAATTGACAGATGAATATGTATGAGTTGTTTTTTTTTCCAATTTTGTTAAAGCTGAACTCTGCCTATTTTGTCAAAAGTTTGGCCCGTTACAGCCACAGGTGCCCTGTGGCACCAGGTATTCCCAGAAGTCTCCCATCACAGTACTAACTAGGTCCAGTCCTGCTTAGCCACAGATGTTAAAAATAATATGTTATGAACTAATCATCACAATAGATATGACAATGTGCTGTCTTCATCATATTAGAAAGCACTGTAACCATGAGTGACTATTTGGCACTTTAGGCTGAGAGCTGATTGAACAAGAGTGGCCCCTGTCAGCTGATCGGATGATGTGACACAGGCCAAAAATGTAAACACTCTGATGAATCTGATGGAACCAAACTGGATTTGATTGCATTGTTAATCTTTTTATCTTTTACATTCTACTCATCACACGAGCATAGCTTTTATTGGCGCCTGCCTCTGTGTTTCATATCTGGGCCTGCAGCTGGAGGCTGGAACGTGTGGTGAACATGGTCCGAAATGTTGATGTGAAGAAGGGGAAGCGGTACCTGCTAGAGCTGCTGATGAGAGACGAGTCTGGAGAGGCCCGAAGGATCTCAGAGTACGTCTACGCCGAGAGCAGCAGCGGCCCGGACCAGCACCAGCTCAAAATCTGCTACCCCACAGGCTTCAGATGGAACCCCCAGGCAACTGTACACTTTGTCATCCCAGGTCTGGACATGTATTAAGAGAAGCCGAAGTACAACACTGGTCAACTCAAAGTACTTTACAAAACAAGAGAGGAAACATTAACATAACAAAACAATTTAAATACAAATAATCCCAGGACTTTTTGATTATACATTTGCGTTTTACTTTCAAAAAACACACATAGGCAAACCCAGGCCCAGAACAACAACAAAAAATAGAACAAATAACATGTTTCTGATGGAACGTTGCGAGCCATAGATGCGAGCAGTGGAGAGCTCTAAATAGGTAACAAGTTGGAACAAAGACATACAAACAGGCCACCATCTCCTTAAACCTCCCAGACCATGTGATAAATGTCAGATCCAGCTTACACTTCATGGAGAAAAGTCTATGTGGTGTTAAGTCCTGTGTGGGTAGATTTTGAATGTCTGATCTCCATCTTAGCCTCTCAGAGTCCCAAGTTATTACTGCAGCCACTCTTCACCAGTTACCAGACATACCATATCCATTCTGCACATTGCCTGCCTGTTCATTTGATTGCCCAACATTATATATTTTTGTCCAATACTGTACAGATATTTCCTTGAGAGGACACACACAGACAAAGAAAAGGCCCAAGCACTCTGACCCTTATATTATTTTTCTATATTCTGCTGTCTTTCTTTAGATGGTTTAATTTAGTTGTCTATCATACTCAAATGTTAAAATTATTGCATTTTTAATTCTTTTTTATATTGTGTATGTAATCCCCTTAAGACAGTTATTCTTATGAAAACATCAGCCACAGACATCATTGAGCAGAACGTGAGCCGACTGTAGTGAGATCGCTCTGCGGTCGCTGTTCCTCTGCTAATGAGTACAAATATGTGTTGCAGTGAAAAACCAGGCCCGCTGGGTGCACCTGCTCATCAGAGACGTGGAGACCCTAGTGAGGGAGACCGGAGATTCCCATTTCAACCTAATCCTCACTGACTTCAGCAGCTCTGACATGGACATGGAGCAGGCTCTGGTCAGGTCCCAAATACCCAGGTACGCATGCCACATTGAATACCAGATGTGCCCGGTGTATTCCATGCTGTAACACCAAGGTCTCCTACGTGGAAAATGTTTCAATAAATAAAGTACATCTATCTAGCTATTACTTGACCATTTTAATGTAATTGATCTCTGTCCTGGGTTCAAGCGGTCAAATACATTTTGTGGTTTCTTCTTTGCGACTCCCCCCATGGACTTCCACCCTAAAGTGATAGTCTGGAGTTTGTCATAAAAAAGAGAGAGAGGTAAATGATTTGAAAAAAACTACCCAAGCTCCTTCTCCCTTCCTTCTCTCGGAGGAGAGATTATTAATTTAAATATTCCAATATTTCATCATAATTTATCACACGGCTCCTCACAGCAGCAGTAGAATGCTCCATTGATTTGAATGTAATTTCAAAATGTTCTACCGATAATTTTTTCTTGATAACGGACCTCTCAAACCAATAATGACCGCTGCCCTTTGGCAACGCACTAAAATACTAAGATTACTCTGGACAGTAGTTCACACATAGCCACGCTCAATAACACAAATATCACTCAATAAACAAATTGAAATGTTACTCTGAGAATAAATTATACTTATACATTCTTAATACACATGCACAGAGGTTTTCAGAATTATCTGTTTACCTTTTCATGACAAAAATACTGTGTTAATGCATCCAAAAGCGATCGCGGTAATCCCGAAAGTATCTATAAACATTAGTAGCACATTTTAGGACACATTTGCAGAGGATCTGATCATGGATTTAGGTTAAGTTTATATTTGGGTCACTCACCGCTGATTTTGTTTACTTTTCATTTAGTTCCAGAGAGTTAATTGGTTAGCTAGCCTAGCTGTTACCCGACTAGCCAGTTTGGGAAACTACCTATTTTATATTTATCATTTAAAAAAGAGAATGCCCATTACAGCTTTGAATATATATATACAGTATATGTATTATGGGAAAACATATATTTTGTATACATATATAATACTATATGATAAATAATACATATATTATGGGAGTATATATACTCCATTATGGGAAAATAAGTACCCTGAAGGTACTTATGTTCCGATAATGACCTGCGTAAAATACCTTATCCCGTTTATTATACGGCTTTGTACCAACAGAACACACAAAATAAACTTCAGTCCACTCTTAGGAATGCCAAAAGGTTTATTTAATGACAGAAAATAAAATAGTTCCCAAAGGCTTTCCCGTGGCTATTATATACAGTACAGACAAAAGTTTGGACACACTTTCTCATTCAATTAGTTTCCTTTATTTTCATGATCATTGACTGTAGATTCACACCCAGGCTGTCTAAGGGCTATTTGACGAATAAGAAGAGTGGTGTTGCTGGGCCAGATGACCTGGCCTCCACAGTCACCGGACCTGAACCCAATCCAGATGGTTTTGGGGTGAGCTGGACCACAGAGTGAGGAGGAAAGGGCCAACAAGTGATAAGAATCTCTGGGAACTCCTTCAAGACTGTTGGAAGACCATTTCAGGTCACTACCTCTTGAAGCTCATCAAGAGAATGCTAAGAGTGTGCGAAGCAAAAGGTGCTACTTTGAGGAACCCAGAATATAAGACATACGGTATTTTCAATTGTTTTATACTTTTTCTTTTAGGTACGTACATAATTCATGTGAATCTACAATTTTGATAGTTAATAGTCATGACAAGAAAGGAAACTCATTGAATGAGAAAGTGTGTCAAAACGTTTTGTCTGTACTGTATTTAATATTTGAATTATATACGAGCACGAGCGCGATGATGGACAGCCCTTGGCATCACTTGATTGGTTAAAGTGGACGGCATCATCGATTTTAAGCTACAGCTAAGATAAGGAAGGCGGGACTTACCCGTAATATTATTATTCATAAAATGACTTATTTTATATCAACATTTAAGGCCAGGTGGTCAATTTAATACAATTCTTTAAATTTGTAATTAATTTAGAGTTCCATACTATCAATTTAAAGGTACTCTGTGTAATTTTCACAGTTGCTCCATATGAAAAACATATAACCAATAACAAATGAGACCTTTCTCAGTATATTTACCTCCACCATGTTTTTGAATTGTTGTCATAGACAATTTGAATTATAAATGTACATGAGAGCTGAGGACTATCCATGTCAATGCGCCATCTTGAAATACATTGGTTGACAAGGAAAAAGTAGGTTACAAGACATGCGTTTTTGTTTTACATGTCTTACTAATAACGTTGCTTCCACTATGCCCTCACAAGTTTGAAGTAGGAACCATGGAGGACCACAGTTATGTAAAACAGCAGGAGGCACATTGCTGTAGATTGTACTCAACATGTGCACACGTGAACAATACGTAACTTTCTTCACACACCAACAGTAATGAGAACGCGGCAGAATCTACGACACAGGTCTCAGGATGTTCTGACCCGCTCCCAGTTCAACTACTATGTCACAAGTTTCAACAAAACGTATTCAGGGACAAGTATCAATTAAAGCCGCAAGCGGCGTCGAACGGCCCTCGCCGCCCCGCACAACTCCCCGCCCCGTACAACTCCCCGCACCGCGCGACTTACCTCCCCGCGCCATCCCGCACCGCCCCGCACCACGCCACCCCACACCACGCCACCCCGCACCAAGCCGCCCCCTACCACGCACGCACACACATCGCACTGCACCGCAACGTGCCACACCGGCCCACACCACACCGTACCACGCCATAGCGCAAAGGAGATGGTACCTCCCCGCCCCGCGCAACTCCCACTCCAGTGGGTCAAATACTGTGTGAGATCAAACAACAAGACAAGAAAAAGACAAGAAAAAAACTAAATGCACTGTGTGCCCTATGTAAAAGTTTTACTCCGCCTGTAGGGGGCACTAATGGGACAATGTCATTGCTCACACTTTCAGGCAACCTAGGCCCAGGAGTTGAACAACCGAGTCAAGTTTAGTGCAAATCAGACTTAGTAAATGCCATTCTCACCCATGTAAAACTTGACTCAGTCTGTAGGGGGCGCTAATGCGGAAATTTAATGTTTTACACTTTCAGTTTGCCCAAACCCAAAAGTTGAACAACCGATTCAAATTTGTTGCGAATCGGACTTGGTTTGTGCAAAAGGGAGCTATGTTTCTATCGTCAAAATGGGGAAAAAAGGTCACAATTTGCCGCTCCGCTGTTTCACTGATCAAAAATCCCTTTGGTCATTTTGATGGTACATTTGTTTAGATGATGTGGAGTGATATGGAGGCCAATCGGTGAAACGGCCGAGGAGGAGTCGCTTTCCAACCGACATGTATGAAAATTATTGCGGATCATTTTTCCATTTTGCCGTGAAATTTATGGGCCTCCTGTTTGTCAGTGGGCGGAGCCATGATATCATATCTTGACTTGAGGAACATGTGTACCGAATTTCATGGCTCTACGACAAACTTGACCTCTGAAACTCCCATTGGCTGTTGTAGGTGGCGCTGTTCTGCCATTTTTTGAGTCCCATAAAAATAAACACGAAAATATCAAAATTTTTACCAGGTCTGATGTTTGGGCAAAATTTTACAACTTTTCATGCATGTTCAGGAGGTGAAATTAAGGCTCAAAGTGCAGAATTTGACATCTCTCGAGCAAAAACAATAGGCCCTTTCCCCGTTCGGGGCTCGGGCCTAATTAAGCAAAACACACAGAATCCCGGCAAAACATCCATCCATCCATCCATCCATTTTCTTCCGCTTCATCCGCTGCCGGGTCGCGGGGGCAGCAGTCTAAGCAGAGACGTTGAGACTTCCCTATCCACACACACTTCCTCCAGCTCGTCCGGGGGGACCCCAAGGCGCTCCCAGGCCAGCTGAGAGACATAGTCCCTCCAGCGTGTCCTGGGTCTTCCCCGGGGCCTCCTCCCGGTGGGACGTGACCCGCGTCCAGGAGGCATCCTGAACAGATGCTCGAGCCACCTCAGCCGGTTCCTCTCGACGTGGAGAAGCAGCGGCTCTACTCCGAGCTCCTCCTGTGTGACTGAGCTCCTCACCCTATCTCTAAGGGAGCACCCAGCCACTCTGCGGAGGAAGCTCATTTCGACCGCTTGTATCCGCGATCTCGTTCTTTCGGTCATTACCCACAGCTCATGACCATAGGTGAGGGAGGGAACGAAGATTGATCGGTAAATTGAGAGCTTTGCCTTTTGGCTCAGCTCCCTCTTCACCACGACGGTCCAATACAGCGACCGCATCACTGCGCACGCTGTACCGATCCGCCTGTCAATCTCACATTCCATCCTTCCCTCGCCCGAGATACTGGAACTCCTCCACTTGAGGACGGACCTCTCTCTTTTTTCGGTCACCTTTTTCCGAGCACCATGGCCTTGGATTTGGAGGTGCTGATTCTCATCCCAGCCGCTTCAAACTCGGCTGAAAAACGCCCCCGATCGCCACGCGATGTTGCAGAGACGTGTCAGCCAAGACAGTCCCACAACATCCAGAGGCCTTAGATACTGTAGTCAGGACGGATCTCATCCACTCCCGGCGCCTTATCACCATGGAGGCTGCTAACCACCTTGGTGACCTCTGCCAGGGAGATAGAAGTATCTGCCCCAACATCCTCAGCCTCTGCCTCTGGGACGGAGGACGTGACGGGGGGATTGGAAGTATTCCTTCCACCGCCCGACAATATCCCCAGTCGTGGTCAGCAGCTCTCCACCAGCACCATACACAGTGTTGGCAAAGAACTGCTTCCCCCTACTGAGGCGCCGGACGGTTTGCCAGAACCTTTTTGAGACCGACCGATAGTCCTGCTCCATGGACTCTCCGAACTCCTCCCAGTCCCGGGTTTTTGCCTCTGCAACAGCCCGGGCCGCGGCACTCTTGGCCTGCCGGTACTGGACAGCTGCCTCAGGAGTCCCACGAACCATCATGGCTCGATAGGACTCCTTCAGCCTGACGGCATCCTTTACTGCCAGTGTCCAGCACCAGAGACCTTGCGACCACAGCTACGAGCCGCCGCATTGACGATAGAGGAAGAGAACATGGTCCACTCTGACTCGATATCCCCCTCCTCCGCCGGGACCTGGGAGAAGCTCTCCCGGAGGTGTGAGTTGAAAGTCCGCCTGACAGGGGGCTTAGCGAGACGTTCCCAGCAGACCCTCACTACACGCTTGGGTCTGCCAGGCCTGACCGGCTTCCTCCCCTGCCAGCGGATCCAACTCACAACCAGGTGGTGATCGGTTGACAGCTACGCCCCTCTCTTCACCCGAGTGTCCGAGACACCCCGCCGAAGGTCAGATGATACGACAACAAAGTTGATCATCGACATCCGGCCTAGGGTGTCCTGGTGCCACGTGCACTGGTGGACACCCTTGTGCTCAAACATGGTATTCGTGATGGACAAACCGTGACTAGCACAGAAGTCCAACAACTGAACACCGCTCGGGTTCAGATCAGGGGGGCCGTTCTTCCCGATCACCCTTCTCCAAGTGTCACTGGCATTTCCCACATGGGCGTTGAAGTCCCCCAGGAGAATAACGGAGTCCCCGGGCGGTGCACTGTCCAGTACACCTCCTAGGGACTCCAAGAAGGCCGAGTACTCTGCACTGCCGTTAGGCCCGTAGGCCGTCACAACGTCACGGTTTTCATTGTTGTGCTGTCCATGGTTGGCTTCGGACTGCAATTCATCTGACTTGTCACCTGAGACCTGTCTGCCATGGGAGACCCTACCAGGGGCATGAAGCCCCAGACAACATAGCTCCCAGGATCACCCGAGTACTCAAACTCCCCCACCCCCGGCAAAACAATCGCCAGAATAAATTTTTTCACCAGCACAGAGTGAATGTTCTGTTTTCTTACTGTGATGCGGATGCAGCACCTAGTGAAAGCTAATAATCTGAGCTTTTAGCCGCAGTTCTGCCGTGGCTGGGTCCATGTCCAAGGCAGTGTCCTCCTGGCTTCTCGGATCATCATGGTTTTAAGCTCCCACAGATTTCCCATTCTTCCAGTCGTCTCTTCTCAACGCGTTTGTAAAACTATATATTATAATAGCTTCATTATAAAACACCTCTGTGTAGCATATACAGTACCACTTTACAACACCTTTGTTTACATGTTCGCATAATCAATAAATATTTGTTTTACGGTCAGAATCGCTCCAGTTGTAGTGGTCTTGGAGTTTTTTATTGTCCTTCATTGTTATTTTTTTACTTTTCATGGCATTGTTTCTTAGTGTGATGAATCCCCAGTGCTTCCAGGTTGTTGTGATGTCTCAAACCCTGTCTGAATTTCTTTGGTGCTGTAGAAGGCAATTGCCTGCACCTCATTATATGTCCATTTATCGTAAGTCTTGCTGTTGTTGTTTCCAGTGGTGTCTGCTAGGCTAATGCTGCTGGATTTTAAGTTGCTTTGCTGCTTTCTGCTGGCCGTCAGAGCCTGCTCCAGCTTTAGCCAATCAGCGCCAGGTTAAACTCAAGCTCCACCCAGGAGTTGTTCAGGGCCGAACGTAGTACCTAGCATGGAGGAGGTACTCCATTGGTTCTTGTAAAAGTTCCTGTAAATGGCCCTGTGGGGGAGGTTCCTGTAGTGGAGACACGTACCAACGAGGGTGGCCTTGGAAAATTATCCTGAAGTTCCTGCGATGGAAAACGCAACTAGTGTCCCTTTAACGTGATGGGGGAGATTGCATACTCTGATGATCCTTGAAGCTATGTAGTCTGGGGCTTTATTCCCCTAGTAGAGTCAAACAGGTCCTCTGTGATGGGCAAAAGAGTCTACAAAATATGGCATTTAAGCATTTACTGCCTATTATTTGATCAGGTAACATTGCTCAACTAATATTATATATTTGTGGCTTATTTCTAGACTGGAATAACATTCTCAAAATAACATGGACACATCTCCAAATCACCTTGCAATAGTTGAAAACTGAATGTAATTTCTCATTGATACATCAAATTTAATATGTCTCAAGTACTACATTGATCTTTACAAATGGTTCAGTACAGTCTACTCTCAGAACAATCAACAATGAGCACTCATTTAGCAAATGTTAAAAATAAATGAACAATGCATTCTCATAATAGCTGTTCTCTCCAGTACATGTCAACATGAGTTCATGGTGTATCATAATAATCTGCATAATAGTCTTCTTTATTTTGGAACATTTAATGGGCGCTGCCTGTGGTTAGGAATGCTGCCGAACATGTATCTACTTCAGGGTCAGTGACAATGAACATCTGTATCATGTTGTTCAAGTTGAGTTTATTATTTATTTTGAAGTGAAATCATCATAACACACTATTGTATGGGCACAGACTTTGATTGCTTGAATGATTTTGGGCAGGTACCAGTATAAGAAGTTAAGTGGAAACTTTGAGCGCTCTCGAGGTTTGCAGGAAGGAGTCAATCTTATCAAGGTGAGTTCCAATAAATTCATCTATCCATTCACTCAACTAACCTATTTGTTGTGCTTGGTGACGTGTAGGACCCGCACAGCATCGTGTTTCTGTTCGACTTGCACATCAGCTTCCCCTCTCACATCATCGACCTTATTAGGAAGCACTGTGTGGAAGGATACCAGGCCTTTGCTCCGGTGGTGATGAGGATGGAGTGTGGTTCTTCGCCCATAGACGCTCGAGGTACAGCCAACAACCCCGTAACACACTGTGGCTTTTGCTCATATCTAGTGGACAAATTTAATCATGCAGCTTTTAAGATCAACTAAACACCTGTGCCAAGCCTCCGCCCGTATGAACATTTGAAAATTCTCTCTAAAAAGGGCATTGCCTGGAGGACCATGGGCACAATTTCACCATGAAACATAAATGGTAGATAGCACTTAATTATAAAAATCATTTGATGAGACAATACCTGTCCCAAACCATGGATCTCCTTTTTCCACTTGCAGGTGCTATTAAAGTCTCCAAAATCACCAACACTATACAACACTCTGACTCACCTCCCAACATGAAGAAATGTTGATGCATCATTTATACTATCTACTACAGTCTCTAGGCCAGTGGTTCCCAAAGTGGGGGTCCCGACCCCCCGGGGGGTCGCGGGAACCCCTGGGGGGGTCGCAAGATGATTTCTACACAAACAAAAAAAAAAGATTTTTTTTTTGAGCAAATATAAAGCCCTTAAATATTTATTTAGCATTTGATTTGATTCAAAAGGACTACTTGTTAAATTGTGTTTGGAGACTATAATATATTTTAATAACGTTAGTAATTTTGTCCCAGTCATTGCAGCGTCAATCAAAATCATCACGTAACACAGCTCACATCATGCGCAACGACAAAGCGTGTCCTGCTGCTGTTTGCTAAAACTAAAGGTGTTTGGAGGCTACAAATAAATAATACCTGCTTTAAAATGAAACGTGGTTAATATCCACAACAGAAAAACCCGGAGGGAGAGAAAAGTCACATGTGAGGTCAGGCTGATGGTGCGAAGAGAGGGAGAGAGGGCAGAGGAGGGAGAGAGGGCAGCGGAGGGAGGGAGGACAGCGGTAGAACAGCGCGTTAAAGAGGCCCGGCTTTTCGGAGTCAATGGTAAAGAGGTCTGCACATTAAAAGCGGGTGGCCGGTTTATGCCTTTACTGACAGTAACTTTGGAAAGAGAAGCCGCGGGGATGAACCGTATAAAGTAACAGCAGAAAGCGGCCGCCCGCTTTTAATGTGCGGACCTCTTTACCGCTGACTCCGGAAAGCCGGCCCACTTTACCGCGGTAGGAGAACAGTGAAGCCTAGTGTATACTTGCGCGGCGTGGCTTACGTTAGCGGTTGCGGTGGACCTACGTAAGCACAATCGATGTTATACTGGCGCGTTCCCCTTACGGAGTTTTGAGGAGAATGTTGTAATCCCACAACAAACCACATGAGGGCGATCACACAGGAGCGGTCCCATTTACGCTGCTACTTTGTCCTCTTCAGAACAACAATAGCAAACAAAGGTGTTTGAGCTCATTACACGTGTTTCTACTGTAGGTTTATGTGATAGTTTTATGGATTCATTATTTTATAAGTAATTTCAACTGTGATTCTGTGAATAAAGACACAGTTCTTGTTGGAAACATAGTTATTATTAAATAGTTTTCAGCACAAACAGCAAAACAATAATAGTGGTAAATATCTGAGACAAACATAAACAATTTACGAGTGCAGGAGGAAAGCAACAAACGCAGCTACGATTCAAACAAGACAGGAACAGTGCAAAACAAACGACTGCACAGTTTATAAGTTATATATATGTTAGATAGTCCACAGTCTCCTGTATATCAGGCTCTGAGCCCAAACTGCTTTTCCTTCGAAGCACAAAGCTCTCTGCTCCATAGTCCCTTGTCCATGTCCCTGCTGCAGCCGCTTCATGCTTCCTTCCAAAACACACACACGGACCAATCACAGCGGAGCTTCCTTGCGGCGACCCTTACGTAGTTAGAAAATTTCGATGCTGCGCGGCAGGCGACGTAAGGGCCTTGCGGTGACCAACGCGTTGCGCAAGTGACGTCACGTCACCTCCGTAAGCTCCGCGCCGCGCGAGTATAAACTAGGCTAGAAATGCGCTCCACTTCTGCTAAGAAGGGAGCCCACCAAGCCCATCACTGTGTCACTACATGAGTAAAAATATGCAAGCCTCCTTTTTTGGGCTGGACAGTGGAGCTCGGTAGTGGGCGTGAGTCTCTAGAAAGCGTTACTCCGTATCAAGGAAATACATGCTCATTTCATGTGACGGAAGGGCTGTTGGGGGGGGGGGGGGGGGGCTCTAGGCTATCATCTAAAACAGGTGTCAACTAAATTGTCAGAGGGCCAGAGTTTCCTCGGGTGCCAGACCTCAAAAAAGAAAATTAAATCAGATTCAGATTAATTTATTCGCCATTCGCAGTAAAACCACATTGGAATACATCCACAGAAGTCCAATTGCACAAGACAAGTAGATGAATAAAACGAGGTTAAAAGTACAGAAATAAAACAAACAAAACAGGAAACAACGAACTTGATCAACTAACTGACAATAAGGAATGATATAATGTGGTGAAACACTCCCACCTTGTGGTTTAACTGAGAAACTACTGCTAATTTGGTAAACGTCAATGTCATTACATAAAAAATTATAGATGTACAAAAACAAACAAAAATATGTTTTTTAACTAAAAATGGTTGCCTATTGAAGTCATACTGTCACGCAATGTGAAATTTGAAAAGATTAAACAGAGGGAGTGGAGAGACATACAGAAAATGCAGTAAAAAGCTGCTACTATTTTAAAATTCTTTGAACCCTGCATCCTATACCCTGCAATGCAGCAAATGTATGTATTTCCATTTTGTTAGAGCACCGCTAAGCCCAACTTATTTTATTTTTACCTTTATATCTCTTCTCTTCTTATTTAACAAGGAAAGTCCCATTGAGATTAAGAACCTCTTTTTCAACGGAGACCTGGACCTGGTTTGACTTGACCAAACTTTCTTAAAAAGTAAAATACATGTAGGGTCTTCACAAATTCCACATTCGTATTCATATTTAAAGTAACTGTTTAGAAATATGTTCATTTTGGTCTGAAACACAATCTTATAAATATTTGCTTTGTCATTTGAGTCATAGAATCCATTCCATCCATTTTTTCTGTTGGTTTGGCTCATTTCTTGAAACCGAGAGGTGTCCAGTGAAAGTGACACTTTATTCACATAACTGTTGGCTAGATATACTTTACATATTTTTTGTGTGTTTTTATTTCATACATGTACAAAATTCTGTATTACTTTTCTCTGTAGGTCATCTAAATTCTTTGTGTTTGTGAATGGCAATGTTTAAGATTTCCTCTGCAGTATGAGAGCAGTGTGTGATGTCAAACTGCTGTGAAATCTTTTATTTTCAGATTTGAACTAGTTGTGTATTTTTTTTTTTTTTTGTTGAGAAAATCATTTTGGTTTCAAGAAATGAGCCAAAGCAACTGAATAAAACCAATACTTTTCTTTTAGAGAGAAAAACGGCCTTGATGAGAACAAGGTTTTGAATAGTGGTAGCCAGCAAAGCAGAGTTGTCCTGCTTTTCTTATTCCAAATGCTCAGTTTGATGCCAACTGTCTCCTGTATAGGTCTCTGGGAAGTGCAAGGGTTCGGGCTGCTGGGCCTTTACAAGTCAGACCTTATGAAAGTGGGAGGAATGAATGTCAGGGAATTCAAAGGCCGCTGGGGAGGAGAGGATTGGGAGCTGCTGGACAGGTTTGAACAGTCATCATGTTATGTTACGGTCAAAAGGGAAGGAGTCATTTTTTGTTAACTATCACATACAATACACTCCCACGCACATCCAGAACACCACAAAAAACTTGTGATTTAACAGCAAATGCGCTGTTCCAGAAGTTGATGCTAAAATATAAAAAGTAAAGGAATGACATGACCTTATGGCAGCAGTGAGTCAGCAAGTTAAGGGGCTTCCATAAGAGCAGGGAAGATGAAAGGGGAAATGTGAAAACTCCTGAGTGCTCCAGCCCAGTTGGGTCCCCATAGAGTTGGTACAGCACAACATACAATTTGGTAGTTTTTGCAAGGAGTCATTTCATCCCTGTGAAGAAAGTTTAAATATGTGTTGATGAGCTGCGTTACCGTCAAAGTCGACAGGTAGATCTCATGCATTATTGTCCCTTAAACATGATCTTGATAACATATTGTTTTGTAGAAATGTGAATATAAGCTATTTTTATATATGGTGTGATTATTATTATTTTTTTATAGTGCAATTAAAACGTTTTATCATTGTCAAGCTTTAAGCCCGAACGTGTGTCCGTTTAGGATTATAATGGGTGGCCTGGAAGTAGAGCGCTTCTACATGAGGAATTTCTATCACCACTACCACTCCAAGCGAGGCATGTGGAACGTCAATCACCGCTGACCTCCCACCTCTACTATTCTGTAACTCGCCGATCAAGATTGGAATACCGAACCATATTGAACACAAAGAGCAGCAGTGATGTCTGTTTATTTAAATAAAGAGAAGATGAATGTGAAATATTAGTGCCTTATAAAGATTTAGGTTGGAAGCATTTTATTGTTAAAATGTAAATGAAGTCACAACCAAAAACCTGTTGTTTGTTTTCTGTTCAACACTGTCATATCGTATTGAGATGTATATTTTTCAGGTGAATAAATATGGTTTTTATATAAAAGCTTATTTTTTCTTATAGCCTGGAAATGTTAGGAACTGCAGGTTGAACCTCACTGCACTGGCAGTGGAGGCAGGGAACGGGCCGGTGTTCTGTCGAGCCGTGCACCCCTTGTGGAAATGTGCATCCCCACCCCCGAAACCAACTTTCCATTGCTTAATGATTATGAATGCTTATATAAAAAGGCCGACATATTTATGATTTATTAGATTTAATAAAAGGTTATAAAATGGATGTTATTTTGTTAAATCTACTAAATACAAGTAGCATATGTTTTTTGTTTTGTTTTTACTGCACAATTATTCACAAACAGAATAATGTTGCAAATTTCTCCATTGTGAGATTAATTGCTTGTAGAACGCCTGTACGGAAGGCAAAACCACAGAATTTCAATACAATGTACTATTCTGAGATTACATTGCATATTTAACCTTTTTAAACCCACTTAGGACAATGTCAATCAGCGAATAACATACTATACAGAAGTCCTTCATGTTCCCTGCGATATAACAGATTGAAAATGACCAATGATATGGTTATCACTAATTTACATATGTATTGCGTTTAACTTAAAATTTTATAAATATATCTTTAACAGACACATGTTTATGTATTTTGTGTCAAATTAAGTTAGATTAGTTTGATAAGTTGTTCAAAAGTTCTCTTGGTTGGCATTGGTTGAAATACAATCACACCAGAATTCAAACCAGAACAGTTTATTAATCTGAAGAATTCTATAGAAGCGTGCAAGCCACAACGAAAAGAGCCTTTTCCATTTCATTTGGAGAGGTTTCGATGTGGCTCAAGATTCTCTTCATGAGATAAGCTTCAGCAAACTGTGAAACAGATACATTAAATGCAGTGTTTTCTGTCATGTGTGCCAAATGGTCTATATATTTAACATTAAAATCAAAACCCCACAGCAGCAAGAGTCTTGCTGTCTTTTGTGCTCTAATGTTGTTTCACTCTCCTCAAGAACAAACATAAGTCATTTTTTAATCAGAGATTAAGAACCTCCAGTTTCTGAGAATGTTCCTCTGATATGTTCTTTCACAGCGGGTTGATCAGCACTATAGTTTTCGGTCTGTTATGTGAATGACCTAAGAATGTAAGAGGAATTTTATTTTGTCATGTCATGTCATGTCATTGTCTTCCCCTTTATTAATCCTATTCTGGGTTGAGGGGATGGAAATTAGAGTTTGAGATTTCAGAGTCTCTTTCTCAGGGACGTTCTGGTCCCAGAGAGAGGGGAGCTATTGCACATGTGTTTAGTTACTTAAGCAAACTTCAAGACTTGCGATGCAGGATTTATTTTTTGCTTTTGTTTTTCCTGTTCAGCCAAAAGAATCTACCACATCCTTATAGTAACAATAGATCTACTGTATAAGATAAGAGTTCCTTTATTCGTCCCACAGTGGGGAAATTTCGTAATATGATATATGGGGTAGGATTGTTTTGAATAAAGCTGCATTATTTTAGTCCTGGAACAATGATCTGAAAGCTGGACGTGAGACGTGAGATTTGAATTTAAACAGAGCAGTAAGGAAATCACGTGTGTCTCCTTTTTTTTAATAAAATCCTTTGTAATGCAAACACATCAGATCTCATATGTGTCTCAACAGCTAATGGAGTCAGATCCATCATGAGACTTCGGTTGGGTTCTTTTATTCTTTACATGAAAATGCATAGTTGTACAAGTAACATATACATTACACATTTCCACGATCAGAAAGGAGCAGATGGAAGAATAAAATGCTTGTATTTTTCTGCCCCCTCTGATCAGTCTGAGACTGACTCTCAAACTCCTCATTGTGAACCAGTTCCCAGTGACATCACCTCACAAACTACATGAAGCAGCTGTTCTTATTGTTCACACTGTGTCATTGTGTTTTCCTCTGAACATGAGCTTTGTAAAAGTGACCAAACTGATGGCAGGGGAAGGCTGTTACACAGGTGCACGTGAGGACAGTGTCACACCATAATAATCCTATGGCTCTTTGAACAAATTTTTTGTAACATCATTGTCATAGTAAGAACAGGCTATTTGGCTGGACGGCAGCTGTTGTGAGTTAGCGTTGCCGGAATCTCTTTCAGATCGACATTGTCATGCAAGTTTGATATCCACAATTTTTTTTTTAAACCCGGCATAAGGTCTTTAATAGATCCATGGTCTGCAGCAGCGCTGGAGGCGGCTTTTCCTTCTCCGCCATGTTTGTTTTGAAGAGTGCGCGTGCACGCAGAGAGAGAAACCCCCTTCTTCGGTTCTCTCTCTTGATTGGATTAAACAGTAGGATACGAGGTTTTCTTCAATAAAGAATGGGAGAAGACTGGAAGGACTGAGAGATCCGTGTTTAGGTACAAACACTCTATATAAGTGATGGCTATTGGAATATATAAATATTTAAGACGTATATTAACACCCAAAAATCGCTTACTTCTGCTTTAAGTTGGAAAGTGATATTCGGAAGGCTCAGGCATGTAAAGAAATAGTTGCAGCTGTATTTTTTTATGTTGAAAAGGCATATGATATGCTTTGGAAAGATGGAGTTCTAATCAAAATAAGGAAAATGGGAATACAAGGGAGACTATATAACTGGATCAAAGACTTTTTGAATAATAGGCAAATTCAGGCTAGAATAAATAATTGCTACTCTGAGTGTGTCATGGTTGATAATGGTGTGCCCCAAGGAAGTGTTATTTCACCAATTTTCTATTATGATAAATGATATATATCAAACAATTGACAGGAGTATAGGGAAATCCATATTTGCAGATGATAGTGCTCTCTGGAAGAGGGGAAAAAACATTGGGTTCACTGTTAAGAGTCTTCAAAAAGCAATTGATGCAGTTGAAGAATGGGCAGGGAAATGGGGATTCCGGTTCTCTGTTGAGAAAACAAAAGTGGTGTTTTTCTCCGCTAAGAAGATCGATGAGAAATTCAAATTTTACATGTATGGTAGAGATCTGGAAAGAGTTAGTTGTATTAGGTTTTTAGGGTTACATTTTGATGCTAAGCTCACTTGTCGTAACCATATTGAAAAGGTAATAGGCAAGTGTAAGAAAGTTATCAATGTAATTAGATGTTTGTGCAGTAAGGAATGGGTAGCAGATTTAGTTTCAATGAAGAGATTATATGTTGGTTTAATTAGATCTACTGTTGATTATGGATGTCTGGCTTATGGATCAGCTGCTAAAACTGAACTGAAGAAGATTGACGTTGTCCAGGGGACAGCCCTAAGACTATGCTCAGGGGCAATGAGAACCTCCCCGATGCCAGCGCTTCAGGTTGAAGTCGGTGAGATGCCATTTGAACTGAGACGTTTACAATTATCACTGTCATGTTATATTCACTTAAAGACACATATGGAAGATCATCCAACCAAAAGTGTCCTCGTCCAAACGTGGGAGCAAGCAAAATGTAAAAGAGAGTCGTTCAGTACAGGTATACACGAAAAGGCAAAGCAAGCTGCAATAGACAACCTGGAACTAAGCTCATCAGTGATTTATCCACCGCTTCCCCCATGGTTGCTGCCAGTTCCAAATGCAGGCACGTCCTTGCATGACAAGTTGAGAAGCTTTCAGGGAGATAGTGGACAGTTGGCTATGATGTATGTGGATAGCCAGTATAGATATGTGCAAATTTTTACTGATGGATCAAAACAACCAGATACAGGGAAAGTAGCAATAGCATATGTGGTACCAGAGTTTGACATAAAGTTTTCTGCAAGAGCCTCAGATCACATATCAGTATATACAGCAGAGTTGATTGCTATTGTTATGGCACTACAATGGGTAGAACAAATTAGACCGCTAAGAGTTGTAATATGCTCTGATTCATTGTCAGCATTAGAGAATTTTAAATCTGGTAATGTAAGTGAAAGATATGACATAGTGTGTGAGATATTAACTTTGCTGCATAATATTGAGACTGGGGGAACACATGTTAAATTTGTTTGGGTTCCGGCTCATGTAGGTCTGATGGGAAATGAGCTGGCAGACAAATTTGCTAAACAAGCCTTGAAAGCAACGGCTGTATCTGTAAAGTGTAAAATGTCGAAATCAGAGGCAGTCAATCATAGTAAAGCATGTCAAAGGATTGTGGCAAGAGAAATGGGAGAGAGAAGACAGAGGTAGGGGTCTTTATAAGATAACTCCTGAGGTTGGTCAGGGCCGTCGGGTCATGAGATGTAGAAGGGAAGAAACAATTTTAACAAGAATGAGAATAGGGCACACTGGTCTTAATACCACATTGCATCTAATAGGGAAGCATCCGTCAGGAAACTGCGATGACTGTAAGGTGTCAGAGACAGTGGAACATATTTTAATCAAATGCGGAAAGTTTAAAAGAGACAGGATTTTACTTAAAAGGAAAATAGAGGATTGTGGGGAAAAGTTTACCCTAAAAGACATATTATCTAAAGAATCAGACCATAGAGTGATAACGTATTTGTTTGATTTTTTAAAACACACTGGACTCGTTAGAAGAATTTAAAATTTGCATGCATAAGTTATCTTTTTTGTTTTAGTAACTGTAGCTTGCAAGCTACGAAACTGCTTCGGAAGTTGTAAGCCATAGAGGTGACACATGCTCAATCTATCTGGTGGGTGGCGGTAAAATGCGCCAAGAGAGTCCCCCCCCCCCCCCCTCGCAGACCTCCCTGTTCAGCCCCTGTCACGTGACCTCCATCAGGAGCCCCTGTTACGTCACTTCCGCCAGTGTACCGCCTGC